ATAAATAAATATTTATAACCCCTCATCCCCAAATAGGATGAACTTCAGCAATCTCATAGTTTGATGTAATGGAATTATAGATGCCTGAAAGGGTGAATGGCCAAGATAGGGAAATCAATCTTTTTTGAACAATATATACTATTATGTGATATTTGACGCATAGAAAAGAATGTGATATTTGATGCATGAAAAATAATGTATTAACATATGCATAAGTTATACAACAATTACATAAACATCTATATGACCACCATTCATCTCGGAATATTTGAATATTTAAATCAAGGGTCAGCAAGCTTTTTCAATAAAGGAGCCAAGAATTAATGTTTCAGTTTTTGCTGGTCTAGAGGGTACTCATGGTCTTTGTCACAGCTACTCAAACTACCCTGGTAGAAGAAAAAGACTGAATGGAAACAGCTGTGTTCCAATAAAACTTTATTTGCAACGACAAGCAGTGGGCCGGATTTGCTGACTCTGATCTAGGTCAACGACTCTGAAATCTAGAATGTTGAAATCAGACTCTTAAAACATTGGAATCATAGGCTATTTTGACACATGGGATCCTACAATGTTAGTCACAGACTATTTGAATCACAGATTCTAGAATGTCACAGCAGAACCTCAGAGGGCTAGCAGTATAAACTATTGGATGTTAGAATTTTGTAGATGGTCTGAACATCAGTTAAAGAGTTCTAACCCTCAGCTGGCCACTATGGTAGCCACTGGCCCCAGGAGGCTACTGAGCATTTGAAATGTGGTGAATCTGAGATATTGTGAATGTAAAATACATAATGGATTTTTGAAACCCACTTGTTATGGAAAAAAAAGTGAAATCTCTCAATAACCTTTTATACTGAGCACATATTGAAATGAGGATATTCTGAATATACATGGTTCAATAAAATTGATCACCAAAATTAATTATACCTGATTCTTTTTGTTTCACTTTGCTTGTCTTTTGCTTGGCTGCTGGAAAATGTAAAATTACGTATGTGGCTGGAATTGTACTTCTATCAGACAATGTTAATCTGAAGTAACACCCTCCTCAAGGTTAGAGGTATGGTGCTTAGAAAGGTCACATGGCACAGACATAGGGGAGGAGGATCTGCCCCCAGGCCTTGGGGAGCCAGGTCAGAGGAGCAGGGGGGTGGGTGACAGGGTCTTGGTGGAGGGAGGGACAGTCCTCTCAGCTGAAGCCATCAGCCGCTTCCTTTCCCCACCACTTCCTCTTCAGAGCTTGTTGACCCAGCAGAATTCCCCAGGCCAAGATTTGGCAATCACGTGGTCCCTGAGCCCACTTCCCTCCTGGACGCAACTGGGCAATACCTCAGAGAAGCCACCTGGATCCCACTCATTGGCTTCAAGTGTTATTAGAAGACCCTTGTGGGGATCCAGCTCTTGGGACAGCATCTCCTTCCTGAACTGGGGTGAGGGAAAGACCTCATCACCTACAGCCCACACCCCAAAGCCGAAAAACTGAAGGATAGCCAGGAGCAAAGAGCGAATGTGGGGGTGGTGAGGCAAGGGAAGGAGTCAGGGAGGACTTCCTGGAGAAGGCTGCATCCTGAAGGCAGGTAGAAAAGGGACAGAGATGGTCTCTTAAAAACAGGCTGGGTGCCGAAGACTGAGCAAAAGGAGAGGCAGGGACCCAAGTGGAAGAGGAAGGAGGGCTTGGATCAGGCAGAGTGTGGGATAGGAAGAGGTGGGATCAGGCCTGAGTCCCAGAAACAGGCTTGGGCCCCCCTAGAAGGGTAGATGAGAGGAAAGGGAGGGTTGGGAGAAGAAGCTAAAGTCGGTTTGGGTGAGATTAGTGGGTACAGACCGCACATCCTGAAGAGAGACCCCACATCCTGAAGTCACAAAAGCAAGATGCATGGTCAAGAGAGAACTCAAATACGCCAGCATTTAAGGGCAGAGGAAGAAGTGCGAGATCACCCCAAGAAAGAGGGAGGAAAACCAGCTGGGCCTGGGGCCAGAAGGCCCCAGCAGTGGGAGGAGGCAGAGAGGGGATGCTGCCTGTCAAAGTAGAAGGTGATTCCAGGAGCATGCGTGGTACCAGGTGCAACCCCAGACCTGAAGGAAGCTAGGCTTACATCTTCCCCATTGCTGCCAGGGGGTCTGCACAGGTATCAACATTTACTATTGAAACTCACACACAGCCTCTCTGGAAGCCCAGCAGAGCACCTCTTCTAGGTGCTCAGATAATATCTTTAAATAAAAGTTGTATCCAAGTTGCCAGTATTGTAGTAGCAGGATTCAGCTACTTTTCCCTTCAGAATCATGCGGAAGGCGATTCCCTGGGCTCAGCCTGGTCTTGCAGAAGGACAGGGAGTTGATAACTTATGCAGTCCAATGTCAGTGACCCACGTGGCTCCTAAGCACTAGAAATGGGCCGTGCGTATAACATGCACAGAGGATTTTGAAGACATAGCACCAGAATAAAAGTAAAAGATCTGTTTAATAGTTGTTCACATAGATTACATGTTGAAAAAATATATTTTGGATGTACTGAGTTAAAAAAAATATACTATTTTGCTTATACAAAGTGTACATGACTATGTTATTATTGTTATATATTAAATATCATTTTAGAGAGCAACATAATATAAACATGTATTGCATTATTATTTCTATAACGTATTAAAGCATAGCTATTACATACATTAATATAGTATGAGTGTGTTACATACATATTTTCTGTATAATATTTTATATTTGGTAATTATAATTATTATATAATATGTTGATATTCATATATTACTAACCACATAACATAGTCAGATAATATCATTAGCACAGTATTCATATCATGGTTGTTATTATAACATATAATTATATTACATTAGTAAATAAGGCACTATTATTTCATCCATTTCTTTTCAAGTTTTTAATGTTGCCACTAGGAACTTTAAGGCTTATGTGACTCGCAGCATATTTCTGCTGGATACTGCTGGTTTCTGGAATATTTCTAGTCAATTCACACACACACACACACACACAAAGCATTAAGCAGAAATGTTTTTAAGTCCATGACAAATAACACAATGTTTCAATGTTTATCACTTTTTATTTTCATGAGTCAAGTGATGCATGGTTTTTTTTTTTAGGTTGAAAGGTTACAGGCTATATGATTCCATTGATAAACCCTTGAAAGGACAAAATCACAGAGAACAGGTTCGTGGCGTGTCAGAGGCTCAGGACAAGGCTGGGGAGGCTGGAGGAAGTGGGGCCGGCTACAACAGAAATCACAGGATCCTGGTGGTGATGCAAACGTCCTGTACCCCAACTGCGTCAATGTCAACAGCCTGACTGTGATGTCGTAATGTCATCTTGCAACATGTTCCTATAGAGAGAAACAGGTCAAGGCTCCGTAGGCTCCCTCTTTGCTGCTACGTACAACAGCATATAAGTTAAAAGTTTAATTTTTTTTGAAAAGTGCAAACAACACAGCAGGTTACAAAGTCAAAAGTCAAATTGTCCTATGACCCCACCCCTTGGACCTGCTGACCGATGTGTCCCAATCTCACCTTCAGCCAACCTTCCCCACAGTGCTTCTGCCATAACCACGTGACATCTTTTTACTTCATCCTTTTCTTAAAGGCTAGTTAAGTAACAATGTTCTTTAAATCAAGTACCTTTACAAAAGTAGGAAGAGGTGGGATCAGGCCTGAGTCCCAGAAACAGGCTTGGGCCCCCCTAGAAGGGTAGATGAGAGGAAAGGGAGGGTTGGGAGAAGAAGCTAAAGTCGGTTTGGGTGAGATCAGTGGGTACAGACCGCACATCCTGAAGAGAGACCCCACATCCTGAAGTCACAAAAGCAAGATGCATGGTCAAGAGAGAACTCAAATACGCCAGCATTTAAGGGCAGAGGAAGAAGTGCGAGATCACCCCAAGAAAGAGGGAGGAAAACCAGCTGGGCCTGGGGCCATAAGGCCCCAGCAGTGGGAGGAGGCAGAGAGGGGATGCTGCCTGTCAAAGTAGAAGGTGATTCCAGGAGCATGCGTGGTACCAGGTGCAACCCCAGACCTGAAGGAAGCTAGGCTTACATCTTCCCCATTGCTGCCAGGGGGTCTGCACAGGTATCAACATTTACTATTGAAACTCACACACAGCCTCTCTGGAAGCCCAGCAGAGCACCTCTTCTAGGTGCTCAGATAATATCTTTAAATAAAAGTTGTATCCAAGTTGCCAGTATTGTAGTAGCAGGATTCAGCTACTTTTCCCTTCAGAATCATGCGGAAGGCGATTCCCTGGGCTCAGCCTGGTCTTGCAGAAGGACAGGGAGTTGATAACTTATGCAGTCCAATGTCAGTGACCCACGTGGCTCCTAAGCACTAGAAATGGGCCGTGCGTATAACATGCACAGAGGATTTTGAAGACATAGCACCAGAATAAAAGTAAAAGATCTGTTTAATAGTTGTTCACATAGATTACATGTTGAAAAAATATATTTCGGATGTACTGAGTTAAAAAAAATATACTATTTTGCTTATACAAAGTGTACATGACTATGTTATTATTGTTATATATTAAATATCATTTTAGAGAGCAACATAATATAAACATGTATTGCATTATTATTTCTATAACGTATTAAAGCATAGCTATTACATACATTAATATAGTATGAGTGTGTTACATACATATTTTCTGTATAATATTTTATATTTGGTAATTATAATTATTATATAATATGTTGATATTCATATAATACTAACCACATAACATAGTCAGATAATATCATTAGCACAGTATTCATATCATGGTTGTTATTATAACATATAATTATATTACATTAGTAAATAAGGCACTATTATTTCATCCATTTCTTTTCAAGTTTTTAATGTTGCCACTAGGAACTTTAAGGCTTATGTGACTCGCAGCATATTTCTGCTGGATACTGCTGGTTTCTGGAATATTTCTAGTCAATTCACACACACACACACACAAAGCATTAAGCAGAAACGTTTTTAAGTCCATGACAAATAACACAATGTTTCAATGTTTATCACTTTTTATTTTCATGAGTCAAGTGATGCATGGTTTTTTTTTTAGGTTGAAAGGTTACAGGCTATATGATTCCATTGATAAACCCTTGAAAGGACAAAATCACAGAGAACAGGTTCGTGGCGTGTCAGAGGCTCAGGACAAGGCTGGGGAGGCTGGAGGAAGTGGGGCCGGCTACAACAGAAATCACAGGATCCTGGTGGTGATGCAAACGTCCTGTACCCCAACTGCATCAATGTCAACAGCCTGACTGTGATGTCGTAATGTCATCTTGCAACATGTTCCTATAGAGAGAAACAGGTCAAGGCTCCGTAGGCTCCCTCTTTGCTGCTACGTACAACAGCATATAAGTTAAAAGTTTAATTTTTTTTGAAAAGTGCAAACAACACAGCAGGTTACAAAGTCAAAAGTCAAATTGTCCTATGACCCCACCCCTTGGACCTGCTGACCGATGTGTCCCAATCTCACCTTCAGCCAACCTTCCCCACAGTGCTTCTGCCATAACCACGTGACATCTTTTTACTTCATCCTTTTCTTAAAGGCTAGTTAAGTAACAATGTTCTTTAAATCAAGTACCTTTACAAAAGCTTAACTAGATCCCTGTAATTTTGCTTTATCCTAACAAGAATAACTCTTGGGATGCTAATTATTTTGGTTTTTTTCCCCCCCAGCTCTCCATAAAAATAAATACATAGCTATTCTTTAAAGGTTAGGATGTTTCTACTGGTCTGTATCCTCCGCATCTGATGTCCTCTAGCCACACTCTCTTCAAGCACAAACAGTGCAGTATGGGAGTATGCTGGTTTCTGTTTGTTTTCCAAAGTACTTGGATGGAAGGAAAGGTTGGGTGTCCCTAGAAGGGAGAGTTAGTCTTGGAAATGAGAAGAGTTCCCCTCGAAGATGCAGGACAAGTCCAGGAACGGTGGACGGTGTGGAGCAGAGGTCCCCGGGACACCACCACCTAAACCGAGGGCTGGATTAAAATAAGCAGAAAGAGAATGGACGGGAATGAAGGTGAAGCTCCGGGCAGACAATGGCCTGGAAGGTCCTGCTTATACCACCTGGCTCTTCTGGGCTTGGGTGTCTGCCGTGGAGAGTGTGTAGGACTTGCTGTCCCTGCTCGTGGACTCTTCGGTCAACAAGTTCCGGATCTTGGAGGGGAGGGACTTGAGGAACCGGATTTGGAAGCTCTGGGCAGCGACCACGTAGATGATGGGGTTGATGCAGCAGTTGATGTAAGCAATGGCGACACACAGGGGGTCCCAAGCAAACAGGGCTTTAAAGCTTTCCGAATCCTTGGAAACCAAGGCCATTATCATCCCTGTCACCTGATAGGGCAGCCACAAGACAAAGAAGCTGGCCACCACAGCCACAACCACCTTGAGTGTCTTGGTGGAGCGTGTGGCGCTGCGGCTCCAGGCTCGGATCAGAAGGAAGGTGTAGCAGACTGTAAGCGTGACCAGCGGCAACAGGAAGCCCACAACGAGCCGGAGGCTGGCCACAGTGTTCTCTATCTGTGAATTCTTTGAACCATAGTCAACGCCGCATATTGACTTGGATGGAAAGGACTGTTGGTGCACCGCACGGAACACTAAGGAGGGTATGGTCAGCAACAGGGCCAAGCCCCAGGCCACACCACACGCCGTCCAGGCCAAGCCAGCCCCTCGGTAGTTCTGGCACCAGATGGGATTAAACACCAGCATAAAGCGGTCGGCGCTGATGGTGGCCAGGAGCAAGATGCTGGCGTACATATTGAGCAGGATGAGAGAGGGCAGGATGCGGCAGGCAGCGTTGCCAAAGGGCCAGTGGTTGTGCATAACAACAGACGTGAACATCATGGGCAACGCCAGGCAGGAGAGGAGGTCAGCCACCGCCAGGTTAAGAAACCAGATGGCATTGATGGTTCGTCTGGCCTCAGACCCAGTCACGCAGACCACCAATGCGTTGCCTGGCACTCCCACCAGGAAGACAGCTGCATAGAGTACCAAGGCAATCACATCTGGAGGGTACAGCTTGGAGACCTTGGGAAATCCATCCACTGTCATGCTGGGGTCCAAAGTCTCCGAGTCATAATTGTACTCAAAGGTGCTATTGTCCATGGAGTCCTGGGTGGAATCAAAGAGGCAGGGAGAGTATGAGTCTGCAGGTCGGTGCTGGGGGCGGGAGGCTATGTGGCTTTCAACCCATCGCTCGACCCTTTTTTTTTTTTCTTGGTATCATTAATGTACAATTACATGAGCAATATTGTGGTCACTAGATTCCCCCCATTATCAAGTCCCCTCCACGTACCCCATTACAGTCACTGTCCATCAGCACAGTAAGATGCTATAGAGTCACTACTTGTCTTCTCTGTGTTGTACTGCCTTCCCCATGCCCACCCCTACATTATGTGTGCTAATCGTAATGCCCCTTTTCCCAGCACTCCACTTTGCTGAGCCTCAGGTTTCCACTGGGAAATGGGGACCCTGAGAGCTGAGAGCCAGCTGGGGTGGCTCTTTCTTTATACCACTTATAAAATATTGAAAACCCTTCCATGCTAATTGGCATCCCTGCCACCTCCCTCTGGTACCAGGGCTTCCCCATGGTCCAGTAATCAAGGGGTTAAAGCCTAGACCTGCTGCAGCTGTGACCGTCCATTGACTGGTCAGGGCCCAGGGCACACTGCTTATTAGATATTTTTAATGTCACCAACAAACTGAGATGACACTGCTAGGTAGTTACCCCACCACCACCACCCACCACCCTCACCTCCTTTTCTAGCCTTCCACCCACTGGGGCAGCTCTACGCTCTGCCCGGGCACGGCTACCCACAGAGGCAGTGGTTGGGCAGTGCCTCATATACTCAGGCACAACATTCAAGCAGGGGAAGAAAGGGCACCCAAAATACCTCTGTCATCAAGATAAATAATATCTTCATGCAGTCTTCTAAAGAATTAAAATTAATACCCCCAGAAAAATCCATGGTGGAAAACATCCAAATTTTACATAAAGACAGGCTACTGCTGTTTGTTCATTTAACGACCCTGTGTGATTGTGCAATGGGAACCATCCCATCAGCCCACAGTTCATGTTCCTGGTAGGGTGGGGCTTTGCAGGTTGACAATGGCATGCAAACATATCACGCACTGCGGGGCTTTATGTACGGTCCTGCTATTGGATTTGGGAGCTTTTTTTTGTTTGGGGATTCTTTTTTAGGTAGAGCTACGTTTACTTTTTCTACTTGGTTCTAACTACAGGAGGATATTTTGCTGAGCGTAGAGGAACACACGGTGTCCTTTCACGCTGGGTTCCAGAATGGTTCAACACTGCACTAGGGTCCAGATCCCAGCCGTCCTACTTGAAGCCTGGATGGCCCTCTGCAAGTTCTCCTACAGCTCGGTGCCTCTGTTTCTTTCCTAGTTAATTCCTAGCAGTTCATCAGTTTTAGCTATCATGATTCCAAAAACTCAGTCTCAGAGCAAAGAAAATATTTGGGAGCAATAAGAGGAAAAAGAAGAAACAGGAATAAGAATTAGTTTTACATTGTTGGAAGGAGGGCAGATGTGATGAAAGCAATAGAGAAGGATATGAGTTCAAGGACAAAGAGGGCCTTGGCACCCAGATTATGGTCTCTAATTACCAAGTGCCACTCAAAGAAACCAGGACTCCTTGGAGAAAGGCTGGTTCCATTCTGGGACAGGAAATACACAAGATGAGCCCAGAACATCTCATCCTAGAAAGTAAGGAAATCTTTAAGGAATGATGGGGACACAAAAGACAGCCTAAAAGGGCTCACACTAACCAAAGATGGGACAATTTGGGTCCCTAATAATAATAACTGTGATGGAATGAAACATATTAATACATGAAGATCTATGAGTTCACAATGATAATAAAAACAAGTGAACCCATTGGTCACCTTTTTTTTTCTGATCCTGCCATTTCTGTATAAAGAATATTTCGAGGAAATAAAGAGTCAGTGTGGGAACACCCTTCTTTAGAGAAGAATCTAAGAATAATGCCTTCAAGAGGAATGATAGAATTAAGGAAATAATGGATCTAGAGGGCAATCACCAACATCTGATAAAACCATCAGGTGAAAGACTGACGGGAACTTTACAAAAACGTGCCAGGCTGGCAATTCAAACCCACCGACCAAACTCAGCACTTCAAGGAGACAGACAGACATTCTGTTCTATCTCAGGGTTATGCAGTAGAAAAGATATAGCATCACCTATGAATTTTTGGAAAAAAAATTGAATGTGGATCTAATCAAGGTTCTAAATGTAAAATGACTGGATTACAGGAAACGTGGAGAGAAGAGGAACATGATAAATAGCACCATAGGGACAAAATCAGCTCCACTAGACCACAGGAAACTCTACAGGACAAATGGTCTTGTTTCTTCCACAAACAAATGATTTTCGTTAATGAAGGGGCAGTGTCATGGGTTAAAAGAGATTTAAGAGGCATATCAACCAAAGGCAATTTGGAGACCTTACTTGGATTCCGACTGGAATAATCAACTGGAAAATAAGACATTTTTGAGACAATCTGGGAGACGGGGTATTACAAACGGACGGGGTATTTGAAAATCGTAAGGAATCGGTGCTGATTTTATTGAGGGTGATATGGTATTGTGTTTATGTTGAAAAAAAGAGAAGACTGTTTCTGATAGATACACATAGCGGGCAAAGTAGGACATCTTGGGTTTGCTTTAAAACATTCCAGAAAAAGAAATAGCTTGAGAGATGGAGGGAGGAAGGAAGGGCGGAAGGGAAGGAAAACCGTGGATGAGTAAGACTGGCAAAGTGCTGGGGACTGTTGGAACGGAGTGATGGATACTTTGTTCATTCAGAATCTTATTCTCTCTACTTTTGTGTGTTTGAAATTTTCCATAATGAAATAAAGCCTTGTAGGCAAATCTGTGCCCCCAAGGCACCAGATACAGCAGAAAAATAGCCATGCATGGCATGGAATGGTCATACTAAGGCAGCCAGTATTTACTGAGCACCTACTATGTGCCAGCCATGGCATTAGCTCTTTAACTCCTAACCACAACTACTAATAGGTTCTGTTAAAGTGCCCGTTTTCTTGATAAGGAAATAGTTACCGGACGGTGAAGTTGCCCTGTTCAAGTCACGTAGATAGCCCTTCAAACCTGTAGAGGCTGCGAAGCAAACTTATGTAGGCCACCCTGACAATACCCAGGGGGTGCTACAGAGGGGGTAAGGACACTGCAAGGGTGAGCTCTGTGGCCCTCGGAGCTAGCCCATCCCTGAAGGCCACTGTCACCAACCCAGGGCAAGGAGACAGAGAGAAATAGAGCTTGTTGTTACAGAAATATTCAAAGCTGGATTTTTTAGTGCGCTTGAATTTTCTGGCTGAGGTTTCTACCCACTATAACACCCACCTCATGGGTTAAATAAGATGAGACATGTTCAGGCCCCTAACACAGTGCCTGACACACAGTAGGGGAACAAGAACTGGCAGCCAATGCTATCATTATTTATCACTATTGTGACTGATTATTGATGAGCTCAGGTCTTTGAACCACTCTTTTTATTTCTAGTCCCTTTGTGTTGCCTAAGGTGTCAGGGATACTGCTGGTAGAGCCATCCATTTAAATGATTCAAAGGGAAAATGTCAATGTCAGTGTATCTCCAGGTAGTGGAATATTACTCAGCCATAAAAAGGAATGAAACACTGATCTATGCTACAATGTAGATGAAGCTCAAAAACATTACGCTGAGTGAAAGATGACAGACACAAAAGCTCATATATTGTATGATTCCATTTATATGAAATTCCAGGACAGGCAAATCCATGGAGACACAGAGGATGGGCTGGTGACTGCCAGGGGCTGGGGGCTTGGGGGGGGATGGGGAGTGACTGCTTAATGGGTATAGGTGATGAGAATGTTCTGGAACTACATAGAGGTGGTTGCTGAATTGCACACTTTAAAATGGTGAATTCTTTGTTTTGTGAATTACATTCAATTAAAAAAAAAATGCCACTGTCATGAAGGCACTGGAGAGCTGAGGGGCTGCTCCAGGCGAACAGGGACCAAACAGCCAGCTCAGCCAAGTGCAATGTGACATCCACTCTAAAGGGCATCATTTGGACCACTGAGCGAGTCTGAGCATGGTCTGTAGGCTAGACAACAGCACCGCACTGAGTGTTAGCTTTTCTGATGCAATACTGTGCTGTGCTCATGGAGGTGGGTGCCCTTCCTCCTGACAGACAGACACTGAGGTTTTTAGAAATTACGCTCAAATGGTTCAGAAAAAAGATGATGGATAGGATAGATGATAGATAAATAGATTGATTGATAGATATATAAGTGATAGATAAATTGATAGAGATACTAGACAGATAACAACGGACAAAGCAAATTTGAAAAATCTGTGTAAAAAATATGTGGGAGTTCCTTGTATTATTCTTGAAATCTCTAAGTGTGAAAATATTTCAAAATAGAAAGTTAAAACTGTTGACATATCTCCATTGGGAAATAGCCCCGGCCCTGAGCCACCCATGCCTCCCGACCCCCTGCCAACTGCCTGGCTTCCCTTTCTCTACTCTGCGCTCCCCCTTCAGGTCCCCAGGCTCCAGTCGCTAGCGCCAGGCACAGCAGGAGGCCCCAGACCCTGCCAGGCTGGGTCTGCATCTTAGCAGGTTGTTAAATCTTTTGAAAGCTCGTCTTTGACATGATGCATGAAGGTCACCTGGCCTCTGCTGGTTTCACAAGCTCTCCACCATCCTTGACGGCAGAGCGGCTCAGCCCCTCAAAAGGGGAGCCTCCCCAGCCCCTGCACTCACACGGTCACCACTGCCCTTACAGCTGACAGCACTGCTCACCAGGGCCCTTTCTCACACGGACTTTATTGGTGCAGCAAAAAGATGCTGATGCTAACACTGCGGTTTCCAGGATCGTCCTGATGCAAATAGCTCGCAGAGCTTTGCTACTGCAGCATCCCCACAAAGGTTGGGAATAACTGAAGTGTCCAGCAAGAGGGGATTGGCTAAATTAATGATACACATCCAGGCAACAGAATACAATCAGAATGAACAAAGCAGTTTATGTACTGATGTAGAAAGAGCTACAAGGTCTAATGTAAAATAGAAAAGGCAAGGACCAGACAGTGTAGAAAGCATGCCACCTACAGAAGAGGAACTCTGTCTTCCTCCCTCCCTCCCGCTCTCCCTCCTATCGTTATCATTTTATCTCTCTGTATCTCTAGGGCAGCTCCAGAAGCAAAGGAAACTTGTATCAGTGGTTGCCCCGGGAGAGGGGAAGTAGGGGGCCGGGGGGCATATAAGGAGCTTTTTACCACATATGCTTGTTTTTCTTGTGTATGTATGTTTTTCTTGTATAGGAACCATACCAGTGAGTACACCATCCATTAGAAAAAAAAAAAGGATGTGGTTCTACAATTCTAGGAATCTAGGAAGATCCTAAGAATAGTTCTTCATCACACAAATATTATCTGGCCAGGGGATTGGTTTCTGATTGCTGGCACCTGCCCTCGGAGAGGTTCTGGTCTACCCGGAGAGAGAAATGAATGACCAGAGGCGAGAACAGTGTTCAGGAGAGACCGCAGCCTGGTGTGGGACCCGGGCAAGGGTTCGTAGACCCACAGAACTTTCTGCACTGATGGAAATGTGCCCCGTGTGCGCCCTCCAGATGGTAGCCACCAGCCCTATGTGACTGTCCTTTTAATTAAATTTCCATAGCAACAGGTGGCTTGTGGCTGCCCTATCAGACAGCACAGCCCCGGGGGCTGCTGATGGATTCCTAAGTGCCAGCTACTTCTCTGCAGACCTCCCAGGAGCTCACAGCAACCGCAAGGGTGGGACCCTCTTGCTGCCCCATCTTGAGAGCCCGGGTCTGTTGGGTGGAGACATAGAAGCTGGGAAGAAGAGGAGACTGGGATTGTCCAGGTGAGGTGAGGGACAGTGGTGGCTTGCATTAGGGCAGCGGCAGTGACAGGTGTGAATGGATCAGAGAACAGGGTGAAGGCGAAGACACGGCTCTCGCGAGAACAGCCATCAGAACGGGCTCGCTCTCTGCTCAGCCTTCCTCACCTATTATCTCATTTAACCGACAGAACAACCAAGTTTTTGCAGATGAGGAAACTGAAGCTACAGAGATAAGAGACCTTTCCGAGTCCTCACAGTTGGCAAGTGGAGTGGCAGAGATAGGAGAGAACTTCTGGGAGTCAGACTCCAGATCCCTCTCTGAGTGGCTACCAGGCCTAAAGTGGGGTGGGAGCTGGGAATGTACACTCAAGGCCAAAGGCCATGAGGTAAGAAGGAGAGACTGTGCTACACACCAGAAAATGAAAGATGAAGTGGCCAAAACAAAGTTAGAAGATCCACAGGTGCCATGTTAAAGAATTTGTATTTTATGCTGGGGTAATGGGGAGCCATGGATAGTCTTTGAGCTGCAGAGGGATGAGATTAGAGTTTCTGTTTTGAAAGATCCCTCTGGCCCCTGGGAGGGTGAGACCAGAGGCAGGAGGAGCGGAGAGGAGGCTGGAGCAGGGATCCAGGCCAGTAAAGATGGGGGCTCAGATGGGGGTGATGGCCAAGAGGAGTAGGAAAGAAGGAAGACTTTCAAGCGCACACAAGAGGCACGACTTGGCCACAGTTGCTCTGCTGGTGCCCGTCAGCTCTGCCCCAGCCCCTTCCCTCCCTCTCTGGGCTTCAGTTTCCCTAACCTTCCAGTAGGGAAAGTCCTGACAACTGTCTTCCCACAAAAGTGGAAATAACTAAACAAAAATGGAAAGAAAGACGCACTTCAGAATGCTAAGCACACAGAAGGCAAAGTCAGCTTTGTTTCCTGAACATTCCCCTCCCTGTCCCTAAATGGACGCATCTTTAAACAATCCACCCACAGGACCACATAAAACCATTATAAGTTATGTCCGGTGACCGATGGGACACCAGGGGGCAGTGGGTGTCTCGACTCAGATTTATCTTCTTGAATTTGCACCTTACTGAGTCCAAATCCTTAGGCATTGAGGATTAGGAAGGCTCACATTTTTAAAACCATGCGGGAAAGGCAAGCGTCCAGATCCTTTGAGAAGGCAATGAACTGCCTCTGAGGGTGGCAAAAATAAAAAAGTTTGCCGTAACTGTGCAGAAGAGGGTGTAGACAGACACTCTCGTGCACTGTGGGTGGGAAATATAAACTGGTACAGCTTTTGGCAATACCTGTTAAAACAAAAATTGCCCGTGCCTTCGATGCAGCATTTGCAGTTCTGAAAGTCCAGATCTGGGTCCAAAGATGTAATTTTGCTTTTAAAGACACACTATGGGAGAGAACCTAAATTTCCATGGATAGGGGATGAAAACTCTTGTTGGAGTATTATACAGCTGATAAAAAGAAAGAGGCAAGTCCCTTGAAATTCACAGGGACGATGATACCTTCCTCATAGAGTGCTTAAGATGAAATGAGTAAATGTAACATGCATCGCACAGTGCCTGGCATGCAGTAAGCTCTCAATGAATGCTGGTTAATAACATTAGGTTATTCATGAAAAAAAGCAAGATGCGAGATAATGTGTAAAAAAAATACTTCCTTTTGCAACAGGGGAAGAAAGGATGAACATGTATGTGCATTGAGTGCCAACTCTATGCCAGGCACTGTTGTAAGAGCTTTCCATGTAGTATCTCACTTAATTCTCTCCCTGATCCCAATCCTATAGGATTATTTATCCCCATCTTAAAGATAAGGAGAAGGAAGCCCACAATAAGCAAATTTCCTCAGCTATTACACAGGAAAGGCAGAATTTGAACCCATTTCGACTTGAGCCCCCTTGTCAAACTACTGTTTATTTCATTCCCCGCACATGCGTCCTGCTAGACTGTTCCTGGAAGGATCCCCCACAAACTGGTGCCTGTGGTTGCCCGTGGAGGCAGTGCCAAGGAGTCTGGGGTTCCGGGATGGGCAGGGAGTGTGACTTTTCACTAACAACCCTTTGGTACTTGGAACTATTTTACAGGAAGGGAAAGCTGTCAGAGCTAATAGTTGGTGCCACCCTGGAAGTCTGGTTGGCCCAGGCTGGGTCTCAAAAGTGGGGTCAGCAACACCGAGCTCCTCCCTGATCCAGCCCACGTGTTCTCTGTTTCCATTTTCACCCAGATGAAGCTAGGCAAGACCCTCGGCAGGCACTCAGTCGCCACCCTGCCTCGCCCAGACCAGGGCTTCAGGATGCAGGTGGGCAAGGGGCCCCCCTCATTTAGCCTGCAGTCTCCGAGGCCCACAGAATCCATGGGGGACAGCCTGGTTCTGCCACCACCCACTGAAGACCTGGGCCACCACCACCCTTCCCTGGGCCTCGGTTTCCCTGTCCTTACGGTTCCGAACACCCAAAGGTCCAGGCAAGGCACTTTACCATTCTTCCAAACTGGCTCTTCCCAGCCTCCTAACCTCCACTCCTGCCATTCCCACTGCCTGGAAGGCCTTTTCAGGAATCTCTCCACTTGAGGAAGGATGTCATCCAGCCAGCTGTTGTGCCCTGGGGAACTTTGGGATCCCAGTCTTGCTGTGGCCCTGTCATCCCTTGACCACCTCCCTCCTTAGCTCCATCCCGGCCCTGGAGAGTCCGAGAGTCGGGCCAGGGGGAAAGTGGGAGACAGGGAGAAGGAAGAAGGGAAGGGAGAGAGCAAGAGGGGAGAGCTGAGGGAGAGGGGGCCCCAGGGATGAGAGGGCGGAGGAGCAGGTCCCCGCACGCACACCCCTTCTAAGGGACTCACCATATTTAGGCGTCTGGAGCTCCCCGCTGACCAAAGTTCTCTCCTGCCCACTAGCTTGTGGTTTTTAAGGCCCGAAGGGAGGGTACAGATAGCCGGGGAGGAAATGACCCGGCTCTCCCCTCTGGGGCTCTCATTGGTCCGCCCACTGGGCACCCCAGCTGGGGCGCCTCCCGTAGGGCACACACCCAGGGAGCTCTAAACACCCCCCAGTCAGAGGAGGGGCGCTGGGCTCAGAAAACTGAGGAAGTTCCCAGCCCCAGGAAGGAGGAAGGCAGCTGATCAAGACCACTGCCCCCTCTAAGCTCGGCCTCTCTCTGGGCCTTGGTTTCCCCGTGTGGGACCATTTCTCTGTTTTCTTCCAGGGCCCCAGGCAGCTGCAGAAAAAAAGCTCAAGGGTCCAACTGTCTTAAACTCCCGGGGAGCAGGGATCGTGAGCCCCAGCCTTTCAGCCAGGTTGCTTTGGGGCCCAGAGAGGCAAAGCAGGTCCGTGCGGGCGGCCCGGGGAATGAGATCTGTCAGGCCTTCCTTCCTGCGGCTTTGAAATTGACATCGCCTACCCCCACCCCCCGCCCCCACCAGCCAAAACCATGCTTTGGGCTTCATTCTGGGTTCTCACGGAGAAAGGCTGAGCATAGACCATCGAAGAATCCTGTATCGGTGTCCTATTGATGCTGTAATAGAGTACCACACACTGAATGAGTAAAAACAACCCAAAGGCATCCCTGCACAGTGCAGGAGGCCAGAAATCCGAAATCAAGGGCTCCGTCTGTCGGCTTCCACCTGGTCCCGCCTCTTCCAGCTTCTGGTGACTGCCGGCATTCCTCGATCTGACCATCTCTCCAGCCTCCACCTCTGTGGCCACATCCCCTTCTCTCCTGTGTGTCTCAAGTCTCTCTCTGCCTCCATCACATAAGGACCCTGGTGATTACATTTGAGGTCCCCTTGATAATCCAGGATAAACTCCCATTTCAAGATCCTTACCTTACCTGCAAAGTTTCATATTTTGCTGTGTAAGATCACGCCACAGCTTCCAGGAATTAGGTGGACATCACTGGGGACCATTTTTTCAGCCTGAGTATGACGATGAATACAGAAGCAGGCTCACTTTTCCCATGCTCTTCTGAAGCTCCACAATATATCACCCACATCTTTTGTCTACAAGTAGCGTTTTTCTACAGCACCCTTCAGTTTTGTTTTTTTTTCAGCAACCTTCAGTTTTTAAAGATCTAACTTTCTCCTCATTGCAAAGGTCATCCATGCACATGGCAAACATCTGAACAATCTGGAAATGCACCACTCTTACAAAAAAAAAAAAAAGCATTGAGAAACCCCACCACCATTAAGAAACTCCTGATAGCAGTTTGGAGTGCAGTCACCCAGTCTTTAACAAATGTGGTGTTTGTGTTTGGGGATGAATATGCTGGTGCCCAATGTTTGACTAGTGTTAGTTCCACCAAACAAAGTCATGTGTATGATCTGCATTTACTCAGCAAGGATTTTGAAAGCCCATTTTGGGGGATTTAGTGCAGGTAGGAATGGGGTGTCGTTATACTGACTCCGACCTCAAGGGGGCGCTTGAGCTGAGTGAGACTCAGGAGGCCAGGCCACGCCCTCTTGGTTTTTCAAGATTTGGGAACAAAATTGCATATTGCCTTAATTCACGGGTTCTTTACATTTTCTATGCTCTGGACCCTTGGCGAATTTATGAACCCCTTCTCAGAATAATTTCTTTGCAACATTTTGTTTTGATGTAACTTCGAATTTGAAGGGGGAAGTAGGAAGGATAATAAAAGCACCCCCTATATACTCTTCACCCAGATTCATTCATTGTTGCGTTTGCTCCAACAACATACTTGTGTGTCGGGGTGTCAATCAGGGTTCTCCAGAGAAGCGGAACCAATAGCAAAGAGAAAGAGAGAGATTTGTCTTAAGGACTTGGTAAAGCAATTGCAAGGGGCCAAAAGCTCTTGGAAACTAATACAGGAGGTCAAGATCTGCATTGCTACCTCCATCTGTATCCGTATCTCTATCTGTACGTCTATTTGCATTCTCCCTGAGTCATTTGAAAGTAAATTAGGAATGTCCTGTCTCTTTGTCCCTAAATTCTTCAATGTGTATCTCTTAAGAGCAAGGATATTCTCTGTGAGAACCACAGTGCGATTATTAAAATGAGGAGAGGTAATACATTGGTACAACACCATTATGTAATCCTCAGTCCTCATTCAAATTTCATTAATTGTCCCAATAATGGGCTTTTATCACTCTTTTTTTCAGAATGTTTTCATAAATACATTTTAAAACACCTTGTTTCATTTCAACAGCATCATAAACCCACTGTTAGTTGTTTATTTAATCACTTCTCTATTGGCGGAATTTTAGGTGGTTTCCAATATTTTTGTTCATTCTACAGTATGCATCCTCATACATACAGCCTGGTGCCTGTGTACAAGTATTTATTGCAGAGAACGTTCTAGAAATATAACTGCAGGGCACAATGGGTGGACACCATTCTTAGTGCTTATAACCTGTATGCTGGTGTCCCCTCATTCTCTCCCTCAAGACCCAGACCTGTATTGTTCAATACAGCAGCCACCAGCCACATGTGGCTACTGAGTAACTGAAATGTGGTGAGTCCAAATTAAAATGTGCCATAACTGTAACACACACACCGATTTCAAAGACTTACTGCAGAAAAAAAAAGATTGTAAAATACCGCAATAATTTTTATATCTTATATGCTAGAATATTAGTATTTTGGAAAAATTTGGTTAAGCAAAATATATTATTAATTACATTATTATTATTACATGTTAAAGATTATTATATGAATGATATAATATAAATATACAATATTAACATCACTACTGACTATATTATACATCAATATATTTGCTATTAATCTAATATATAGTATATTATTAAATAGGTTACTTTTATTATTATTTCATCTGTTTCTTTTCACTGTTTTAACATAGCTAGTGGAAAATTTTAATTTACCTATGAGTCTTACATTTGTGGCTCACATTATATTTTTATAAGAAAACAAGAGCCACCATTAGCCCAGCCAGAGCTTTTGTGTGAATTGTAATGAAATGCCCTTTCTACACAGAGCCACGTGCCAGATCACACAGATGATTTGACAGGGAGAGCCATTTCTGAGTGTTATCCTTAAGCTCATTTCTCTCTCACATACCGTGCACAACTCATGGCTTCCACTTTGGAGTCTAAGGTGGTTGTTTAGGCTCTCACCACATCCCAAAAGGGAAGGAAAAAGAAGTCAGGGGGGAAGATGTCCAGTCCTTTCAAGGGTGAAACTCAGAAGTGGCACTTTGCTTCCCACTCACAGCCCATTGACTGGAAAGTAGTCACATGGCCACACCTACCTGCCAGGGAGGCTGAGAATCCTTGTCCTGAGCTGGGTATTCCCATTAAGATTCTATTCCAGTGGAATATCTTCTTCTTGGAGTCCCCGTGTGCTAGAGTGCAATTGGAAGTCAGCTGCAAACAGCATCAGGAAAGGCAACTTTAATTTAAATAAAATAATCTTATTTTTATGGCTTAAGTAAGAAATCTAGCAGAGGAAAATGTATGAGGGAAGAAGGTTGTGCCAATGGTTAACTTCTGGTTTACCAAAGAAAACTCACACACATTTACATAGCCCAGAAAACAGGGGTATCAATTCAAATAATACTACCAGGGCCATACATTATTAAGTCAGATAACTGAAATACAGGAACAGCCCACATGACTACCAACTGCACTTCTGACACCAACTGCAGAATTTGGGGAACTCCAAGGCCACGCTTACTATGACACTACACTAACTGCAAGTTTAAGGGTCCCCAAGACCACCCTCACCTTTGATACTTTGCTAGGAGGATGCACAGAAGTCACCAAAAGTTGTTATGCTCACGGTTATAGTTTATTACATTGGAAAGATAGAGATTAAAATCAGCCAAGGAAAGAGATGTATGGGGCAGGGACCAGGAGAGTTCTGTACTCACAGATTCCAGTTGTACAGAGAAGTTGTTTCTCAGCACCAGTGTGTGACAATACAGATGGAGCACTGCCAACCAGGAAGCTCACCCAAGCTTTGGTGCCCAGTCTTTGCCTGAGTTTGGTCACATAGATCTGGTTGATCACCAGTGTGGCTGACTTTGTGGCCCAAGGTTAACAAAGACACTATTAGGCAGGACATTCCAAGGGCTTAGAAGTTACCTCCCTGGAGCTGGAGGAAAAATCCAAAGCTCTTTTTGGGCAATGTCAAATCTTATGACACAATCAATAATAATGACAGATTTTTTTAGAGGTTAAAAATTACTTACACAGGACATAACAACAAAATCTGAAGTTTGGGTGTCTTACAGATTTCCATTGTTAGAAACAATTTTTACCCAATATTTTTAGGATGTGGGTTCCTATCTGCTTCCTGGGATTGTGGAAGAAGGGGGAAAAAATTTTTTTTCTTATCTTGCTGAGATTTGTTTTCATCAGTAGCTAGAAAGACCCACAGTTTCAAAGTACTAGGATTCTTTCAGTTAGCACTAAGAGAAAAAAACGGTAGGCCTGGCAGCCCAAGGAGTGGAAGGAGATTTATTACATATTTCCAGCAAAGGATTTGTGCCTAGATTCTATAAGGAATTCTTACAAATCATAAGAAAAAGACAATCCAATAGAATAAGTGGGCCAAAAGCTTGATTGACATTTCATAAAGAAGGGTACTCAAGAAGCCTTATAAAAACATAGAAAGGTGCTAATAACTTTCTTGGTCATCAAGGAAACACAAATTAAACACAGTGTGGTTCTCCTACACACCCACCAGAAAATCTAAGACAAAAATAAGTTTTCATTTATCAAGAGCTGTTGACAATGTGAAGCAACCTGAATTGTCATACATAGCTGGAGAGAGTGTAAAATAGTGCAACCACTTTAGGAAACTGATGGTATCTACCAAAACTAAATACACACCTAATCTACAACCCAGCAATCCCACTCCTAGGTAGTTAGAGAAGCAAACATGTGTCCAGCAAAAGGATATACTAGGGTGTTCATAGAAGTTTTTTTCATAATAACCAACAACTGAAAACCAACCAAAAGTAAATCAAAAGTAGAATGGGTAAATAAATTGCATATC